CACCCTTTTTTGCCCCCTTCAATTTGTGCCTCCAAGAGGAAAAATTTGACAGTACTTAACAGCCAAGCTTCAGCAGTTATTAAAAAGCACAATATAAATAATACATTACTAAAGAAAGAACCAATGCTAGAACTTGCTAACCAGCAAGGCAATTAAAGCATTAGTTTTGTAATCCAAACTCAGTGATGATATGATTGATGAGCTTCTCCAAAAGGCGAACATCCTATCCTGGCTGCAATTTACTACTGCACAGACAGTTTTATTCCAGTGAGCAGTAAGTAAACAACATGGTAGACTTGGATGCTCAATTCAGGCCCCCTGCCCTATGAGGAGACAACCTGCTCTTCTATAGCCTATCATTAATGAGAAACATACTCCCCTAAATTAAAAATGTGTGCATAATACCAACTTTATTGGCTGTTCTCTGTATAGAGAAGGGTCACTCAGGGAAGTGAGTCACTAGTGAGAAGGGTCACTAGGGAAGAGGTGAGCATTTCACACAGGATGAAGAGATGTACTTAAGTTTCCCTTCCTTTTTACCAAAAACATTACCAAGAGTTGCTTGGGAATTGATTGCATTTGAACGTGTTCCTGGTCTCAAGTATCTACAAAACCTGTTTCTGAGTGTACTGTAAAATCAGGACATAGAGTAGACTTGGAAAGAAACAACAACCACCACCATACACACAAAAGAGATGGCGCTGATCACTTGTTTCCTCAATTTCAATTTATATTTAAGTTTTTATAAACATATACATTTTGATAAAGATTGAATCACACTGACAAATTTGTGTCAGCATACATGTATACAGTAATTTTTTTTACATATCAAAGACTTTCTACAGTTTTGTTGAAGATTATAACAGCAAAATGTGTCTAGAAAATGAGTTGAAAGTGACAGTTTCAGAGACATCCTTTTACAACTTTCCTTTGTAATTCAAAGACTTGTTTGATGTATTTCACACCATATTGCTAGTGACATTAAAAAGGTCATGAAGGACGATGCTGACCCATACATTCGAAGCATTCCTGCTAGAAATCATATCCAGCACATATGAGAATTTCAAGACCTATCAAAATCCTGAAAGACAGAACAAATCCAAAATTTGATGTGACTTTCATTATAATACTAAACAAATAGTTCGGGATTTGTGGTGTTTTGCTATTCGTCTTGTAAAAGAAAGGAATAGAACTCGCAAAAGAGCATTATTTCTAAGAAAATTTTAGATTATCTCAACACTTGTGCAACGGTCCATGCAAACCTTCAGGAAATTAATGCACTACCTGATGAAATCTATATAAACAAGTACTCAGGAAGGCCAGCAATGATGTGTAGTAATAACTTAGTTATAATTAGTAATAGAAATCTTAAAATAACTATCCTCCTGAGTCAGCACTCATATCTTTGCTGTATTCTGAAAATGATAGGATTTTTTTTTTAAACCACTGTAACTAAAATGGTAATTAAAAGCTGATTTAGGATCAAAGACAACCTCAAGGTCATAAGTATTTGTAGTTGGCTGTGAAGTATTCTCATGAAAATTTCTTGAAAGTGGATGCCCTATTCCAACAGCAGTACGTTTGCAGGAGCCAAAGAGAAAAACAATTTTCCTCAAAGGTTTATACACAAGTGAAAATTGAAAAAAAAAGTTAGCTTTCAGGAAAAGAAAAAAAAAAAAAGGATGCTAGACTACAGAAAGGGAGTGCATTTAGTTGAAGATTATTATAAAACTACATTTACTGGTCTACTTGAGGTATCTAGAAAAAAAAATAAAAAGAAAGAAAAACCCAACACCACTAATGAGCAAGTATCGATTGCCATTGGGAAGTCAGCATTATTTCAGCAATTCTTTTTTCCATTTATCCAGTGCTTTCACAAGACACCAGCCATTACAACAGCTTTGCTTTTTCTTCAATACTGGCAAAATCCTCTTTTATAATCCCTGCAGATACTGACTTCAGTGTTTGTATTTAAATTTCGATTATTTTCTTCCATTATGCAACAGTTTCCAAAACAATATACCTCAACTTTTAAAAGCAATGCCATAAATATGCAACATTTTGAAGCGTTCTTTTGCATATTATATCAGACAGAAAAATTACACAGAAACAGCAGCATCATTTTTAAAGAGGCAAAAAACCCTGCCTCCTCAGTCCCTTCCTCAATTGCTTGTTATCTTGCTTGTGGCCCTAAACTACCTAAATGAGTCTGGGATCAAAACTAAGGTATTGGTTCCAAAATCATAGAATCATAAAGGCTGGAAAAGACCTCCAAGATCATCTGGTCCAACCATCTCCCTACTACAGGTGTCACCCACTAAACTATGTCCCTAAGCGTCAGGTCCAACCTTTCCTTAAACACCCCCAAAAACAGTGACTCCACCACTTCCCTGGGCAATGATCAACCTGTATCACATGAAGGATATTAAAGACAAAAATATAATCCCCATGCAGAAGAAATATGATTAATTAGTCTTGAATAAACCATTAGCTATTCAGTTACCTGAATCTCAAGAAACATGCAGAGAACATGGCTTCAAGTTGCTGAAGTTTTCTTTACATTTTCCTTAAGTGAAATTACCGTGAGACACTGTATCAATACAGCTAACCAATATGCAGAATACAAAAATAATAGTAAATAAATAAGTAAAACACACCAGTCACCAACAAATGATGTGCAACATTATTATATATTTTAATCCAGTGGCTTGGGGCATATTTTCTGAACTGCATTTACTTCCTTTTAAAGAAGTTTATTGTTTAAAATCTGTTAGCACAACTATTTCTTCCAAAGTGCTGTTCTCACAAGCAACTTGACCAATTCACTGAAAAGCTTGAAGGAACTACTATAATAAATACAAGTTAAAGGATGACCTATGATAAAAAATACCAAGTTTGAAAGTTTTTTTCTCCCCTAGTTATCAGTGATGAATGCACAACACATGAATTGATAGCTGAAAAGTGCACTCGAATATCTGAAACCTGCTTAGAGACTGATAACCTTTCAGATGTCACCGCCAAGAAAAAAAAAGTGAAAGATCAGATCCAAAAACTTTTTCATGTGTTATGGTGTATTAGCATAACCAATTCCAGAGTCTTTGGGACCACAGAAGCCGGCATTCACTGATGGGAGGGGATGAGGATGGGTAACAACAAAGGAAGTCAGGTGATAGAGGAGGATTATGATTTCCCAATAGTATGAATCTATTTTCCCCAGTTTTTTTAATGTATTTTGCCTGAAGAAATGATTAATTTAGTCAAAACTGACTACTAACGTTTTCCAGAATAATCACCATTTCAAAGTTTTCAGTGCTTTAACTCAGTGTTTTGCCTAGCTGTACTGTATATGTGCCGAGGATTTTTCATCTTGTGGTTTCACACATTCTGCACATATCAGACTTGTCTCACCAAAACCAAGCAAATGGTGAAATCATGGAAGCAGCATTCTGAAGTGTTGCTGTGTTGAAACTCAAAACTCAGAAATAGGTCTTTTCAATACATGCCTGACTTGGCAATGGAATGGGAAGCTAGAGATGGATACAAAGCCTCACGTCACCAGTTTATATATGCCATAATCTTTTGCTGACAAGATTTCTTTTTTCCTGTGAGAATGAATCACATTGTAAAACACACCACTAAACACCCAGAGAAAGGGAAAAAAAAAATGCCAGGGCAACACATAGGAACAGAATACAACCCTACTCAGTAACTCCTTATAACAGTGAACTACAAAATAGCAATACAGTCAGCAATTTACCATCTTACTGCATCCCAGATTATTACAATACAGTAATAATCATCATCAGTAGAAGTACTCACAGAGTCGTGATTATGTCTTGTGTGTTTAATTACCAACAAGGAATCAAAGCACTGTGAATAGCATACCCATTTTTATTTACCCAAATAATTTTATTACTTCCTAATAAAGGAAGGCCAAAAATGTGGAAGCAGATTGCTGCAAGAGCGTGTCAGTAGGAAATTTCAAAAGACAACTACAGCCCATACTATAATAGATGTGTATTCTGCAAAGCACAAAGCTATCAACATAGCTCAGAAAGCAGATCTACAGATGGTAAGGTCCTCAGAGTCAGTGTACTCTCTTAAACAACAACAATCTCATTCACTGATTTTGTGGATGCCCCATCCCTGGAGACATTCATGACCAGGCTGGATGTGACTCTGGGCAGCCTGCTGTAGTGGTTGGAAACCCAGAGCAGGGAGGTTGAAACTAGATGATCTTTAAGGTTCTTTTCAACCCAGGCCATTCTATGATTTATTTGTGGGTGTATATATATTATATATATATATATAGAAACTAAAGTTGCAGGTATGTATATATACACACACACAGCCATATATATAATATAGTACATTAAATGTGTATTCAGATGCATTTACATGTATAATCAAGGACCTAATCTTGAGGATTTTAACATACAAACATCCAACAAGAGAGTTGAAGAGCAACCATTACATTGAACAACTTCTTGAAACTCCCACAAAACAACAAGCTTACGTACCAGATGCACCACAACCAGAATGTGTTATTTCAGAATTAAAGGGCACAAGTTCATAAGCATGACAATGAACACCGAACACCAAACATATTCTTTATAGAGAAGGAAATATTTGAGTAGACGTTGCAAAGAAAACACCAAAAACACAACTAAAGGCACTAACCAACTAGACTTCTCATACATGAGAGAAAAACTCAACATAATTGATACCAGACAGCTGCAAAAAAACCCAAAAAGATAAAACAAGCACAATATGCAACTGCCAAAGTTGGACAACAGCACAGGAAGTGGAAGTATTACTATAAAAATAAACCCAAAATAACCAGAACAGAGACTTGCATAGATATTTACTAGCAAGACCAACAGAGGTTGCTGCTGGTGTTGAAAGAAATAACACAGACCATAGAATTCACAAGATCTTTTGATGAAACATTTTTCAGAAATTTTCTTTACAATATGCTTGCTGTCATTTGTAACCATTACCTTAGAGGAGACTTTCAGCAGGGGATCAACTCCAAAAACACTTCACAGAGAGGAGTCTGGATTTCTCTGTTGAGTCTGAAAAAACAGAAAATCACTAGCTAAAGCCATCAGCTTATGACACTGAGGCAGCACTGGCAAAAGTGATAGAAAATACCTATATAAGAAATCTGCCCACTGAACAGAGAATGTGCCAAGGAGAGAGGTGGATTAGCAGTTTATCTCAGAAGTGACAGATTTCTGCATTTCAAAAGTGCCATGCTGGAGTGGGTGATGGAGGGACTTACACGAACAAGAGGAACCTATGGTTCACCAACTGCCAAGGGTTTTGATTTGATCTAAACTCTGTTGTAAAATCCTAAGATTAACCCCATACAGACACTTTCCCCCTTTGAATTTCAGGAAGATTTATTTCAGGGAGGTTGAACGAAACTGGAAATACATCCAAATAACTTAAACATACAGAGTGCAAATAACACAGACATTTTGTAGCTTCCTTCTACAGCTCCCCACCCACCCAGGGAATAAGAACCAGGTTCAGGTGGCTATAAATTTGGTCTTATATGCAGCTGGAAGGTGGCATTTTCTTTTAATTTATCATTTAAAGACAGACCATCAGAAAGTCATTACATCGCAAAGATTGTGTCTCTGCACAATTGTCGTGTAAATGAGCACTGATGTATGCAAATATTGTAGATAATAAAACAGAAAATGGTTTTCAGTACTAGACTTGTTCTTTTCCAACATTTTGGCGTCAGGTTTAATACAGTCAGTGAAAATAAAGGAACAGTTTCCCAGAACTCAGACTTCAGAAGATCGGAACCTATTTCATTAACCAGTGCTTAACTTTAAAGGTAGGCAAGTTCGGCCCCCATGGTTTAGTTGGCTTATGTCTGTGATCTGAATCCCACCTCTACCTGACATTGTAGCCCACTTCTGTGTTTGCAATCCTATCAGGACACAAAGGGGGAGTAGGGAAAGTAGAAGAGAGACAAGGTACCTTAATGGACACCTCTGGGTTCGCAGGCCATTAAGGGCTACACTACTTTTCAGTCAGCACCGGTATTCTGACAACACATTTAAGCTGCTTCTTGCAACAGCAGCTGCAACATCAGGATCACCATGGATGACAGACATGCGGCAAGCTAAATTCAAGGAATATGCAGAGATCCTTTATGGCTACAGATACTTCAATATATCATGTCTGTTTTGGCAGAGGATAATATTAGCACTATTGAGATAAGGATACAGTAATGCTGTTAGAAAATATCTGTATCCTGCCTGCTGGGCTGTGATAAAAAAATCGTGTGTTTCTCACATTAGGTATGAGTATTAACAGGATGCATGCAGGCACTTCAAATCAGGAGCAAAAGACAAATAATTTTGCAAGTTTGATCAAGCTCATAGTTAGCTAGTAGTAAGGGCTATTCTGTCTATGTGAACTTGTATTGCTTAACTTCTCACTTCAATATCCCAAAAGCTCAACTCAAACATTGCTAGGTTCAGGCTGAGATAAGAACGTAAGATACAGGTAGGAGAAGAATGGACAGAGAAGAAATTAGATGCGAAAGAATGGAGTCAAGTGAAGACTGCATAGATACAGATACTCTGACAAGAGGGGCAGACAGAAATATTCTGAAAACATGAATACATTCGATTTCACACAGCATCATAATGACATAACACCATTTTAAAGAGATTTTTTTTTCTTTCAATTTCTCATGCACAGCAAAGAAAATATTCTATAAAAGACACTTTTGTTTCAGTGACTTATTTAGGGGAAGAAGATAATCAGCAGCTGCTTTAGACAAAAAGGAGGGGGAAGAAAAAGTGCAATCAGAATGTTTTTTGCTATGTCTATAACTTATTAGGAGATTTACAAAACCTCACCATAGTGTACGTTCCACTCCTCTCCACTACAGATTATAGCTTTTCTTTCTCCTTACTACATTTGTTCAGTCCAGCGCTGCGATTAAACACTACCTCTAAAATTCCCAAGAATTCTTCTTTGCCTTTTGAAAGTACAGCTCCTTTTGGAAGTGGTTTTCCTTAAGGACAAATCAGAGTGTCTGAAGGTATTAAGATTTTTTTCAAATATAGAAGGAACAACCATGAAATTTTCAAAATAAGTGAAGGTTCTGGAACTCCTGTTCACCAGCACTTTGGGGTCAAAGAACCACAGCTCAGCTGAATTTGGAATTTTAATCTTTTAGCAACTATGCAAATAGTTTCTTGAGGATTTATAGTCATGGAGAGTTGCTCCTATCACTTCACTTTGTTGGAAGTGCTTAAGAATTATTAGAATAAAATTGGAACAACTTCTTCAGAATACCCTCTGCAAGCAGAAAGGGTAACTATCTGAAAATTATCTCCTTCCCTACAGTATGTCTTACTATTAACATAATCATAAACACTTAAGACAGCACTCCCCTCACATATCCGTTATGAATCTCTTAAGGCTGAGTTATGAACAATATTAAACATTAATGCATCATGCTCTAATAATTATTGTCTTATTAGAGCATTTACCCAATATGGCTTGTTAGATGGTTTGTGTTCATAACGAAGATAAGTTTGCATTTACCAGAAGATATTTAAAAAAAAACACACTACCAGCTGTCAATATTATTTCCATCAACAGCATTTTCATAAATTAATAAAAAATTAATGAAGCAGACAAAATGTAGTAATATTGTTAAATATTAATTTTATACTTACTTGATAATTTTTCTAAGAGCATGTCTGCTGAACTTGGAGCACTATTTATTGAAAACACAGAGCCCCCACCCTGCCCTTGATCCTGGAGCAGCTTCCTGGACTCAGAGTGGCAAAGCAATGCACCTCTCTGCCTGGTGGGGACCACCTACAGTCCTGGACATCCTGCTCAATGGCTGGCAACCAGAAAGTGCTAAAACACAGCACCGACTACTCCCACATCTCTTCACCAGTCTAGTCTCAGTACCTGCACCTCACAGACAGCTAAATGGCTGTTCTCATGGCAAACAGTTCCTCAGCTGGCAAACATTCCTTCAGACAAAGAAATGCAAGCCAAGTGCTCATCAGCCTCAGATGGTATAAAAACACATCCCTAAAGGACATGGAGGAAGTCTTCAGCCACATCCCTAAATTCTGTCCTCTGGACTTAAAACTTGAAGCATTATGGTGTGCAGTTTGTTTTAAGGTATATTCAGTTTTTAGGTTCAGTTGTATGAAACCAAGCATATCAATAATCTGTCCATTGCATTTAAACTAGAGCAAACAGGCATATTGTTATTTTTTTTTTCCTATTGTCTAATCATCACAATTACTCTTTATATTTTGAGGTTTGCATTCAATGAACAGTGATTCTACAAAGATAAACCTATCTTTCAAACGTAGTTATACCCTGACTTTCAAATCTCACCCTTTCAATTTCAGGCCACTTAATAACAAAGCTCTTCTAGTCTTTATTGCTTCACTACTCTAACACAGATCAAATCTGTAATGCAAGGTTTATATTTTCTTCATCCTCTGTCCAATATTAGAAAACATGCAAGTAGGAGAATGTATTTTCAATTTGGTAGAGGAAACCCACCACCCTGTATGGAAGTGTGAGGAGGGAGCAGAAACATTTTGAAGTCTCTTTCTGAAAACTAACATAACAGAAAGATCTAAGAATGTAAGTTCATCCTTTCATATTTGAAGAGATAGACCTGGAGATCTGTTTTTTGTTTTGTTTTTTCTTCTGTATTTTGATTTTATCATTTAATGAATGAAGAAAAACAACCAACCAGCTATATTAAGCCCAGTGCAGCATCCCATAACACAACTTCCTAGGTACTTCAATATATCGCAGGCCATACAGCCTGTGATGCATTGGTTTAAAACTCTTCAATGTTCTTTCTCAGTAAGCACTGGGGAGCAGAAGATTACCAAGAGTTAAAGGCAGATTTTAAAGAAAACAGGATCGCAGCCTCATTTTGCTTCCTCTACTCAACAGGATAAGTTTAACACCAAATAGCAGTTTCTACTTAAGACAGAATATTTTTACTCAGAGCAGCTGAAGCATTAGCCAGTGCAGGAGACGGACAATTAGCAAATTGAGAACCTTCCAGTTCTTAAATGTGAGGATTTTCTAGTGCGGACTTTCCAGGCAGGTCTGGGCAGTCATCTCTAATGCATGCTTTAATTGTGCTTTCTGTAGCAGTCATTTTTGTGTTCACTTTCAATCAACCTGTGCTCAGCATTGCATTTACTGGTTGCCTTAAAGTACATGCTGTAATCCTCCTCATTCAGTTCAGTGCTGTTACCATTATTCCTAAAACCTGTAAAAAAAAAAAAAAGACAAAAACCTTCCTTGCTCCCCAGTATTGACTATATACACAAACCTCATTGTAAACAACAGGGAGTTTCACCTGGCTATTATTACAAAATAGTGTAAGCTGGAAGGGACCTTAAAGATCACCCAATTCCAGCACCCCTGCCATGTCTCCCACTGCACCAGGCTGCCAAAAGCCCCATCCAACCTGGCCTTGAGCACCACCGAGGATGGGGCACCCACACCTTCTCTAGGCAGCCTGGGCCAGTGCTTCACCATACTGAAAGTAAATGAATTTCTTCCTAATATCTAATCTAAATCTACACTCTTTTTTAGTTTAAAGCCATTACCCCTTGCACTATCACCACACTCCCTGACACATAGTCCCTCCCCAGCTTTCTGGTAAGCCCCCTTTAGGTACTGGAAGGTTGCTATAAGCACTTGGGAGGGGGAAAAGAGCACCCCATGAGAATCCAAGACTTGCTACAAAAACTGTATATCATCTGATTTGAAAATACTTGAAAATATTGTCATTGCAGTTAGCTACAATTTGAATACCCACATTCGCCTCTTTCCTTGTTGGCTCCCCTGTAATGGAGCGCAGCTAGGAGCTCATCTAATACACGTCAGCAAGAAGAAAATCCAGGACACGTTAGCCATCTCAGGAATTTATTCCAGAGAGAATAGAAACGATACAGATCTGAAGCATTACTTCTGACTGAAATTTCTCAGTGAAACACAAGAAACACAATTTTTCTCTTCCAAAGTGTACAGCATTCTT